AAACAATCTATTTAATGAATTTCGGTTATTTTATTTAGTTTCCGGTTTATTAAGTTTTCATACCAACACATCCATCATATATTTATACACATTTAAATGATAAGGGTCGGTCTTGTCTGTATGAGTTGGCAATGAAGTTTGTAACACATTTTGAATACTCATGAGGGTCTAAATGTAAAATGTATAGAAATAAAATATTATTGATCTTTTTTAATATAAAAAAATTAAGTTTTTAATATTTTCAAAAAGAAAGACCTTCATAACTCATGAAAATGTTAAGGGATTAAGTCATTATTTTCTTTTACTGCAAATATATTTTTCTTTTGTATTGAAATGGAGCCAAAAAAAAAAAAAAAAAAAAAAAAAACTTATTTCAAAAATTTTCTTAACCAAATGAGAATTATATTGTTAGAAAGTTAATGTAAGCATTTTAATTGTAATCTTGTTATAGTGTGCACTTCCGTCACTTCTAGATGATAGGTCATTTAAAAAGCTTCTGTATGTCTGTATAAGACCCCATCGTGTCTCATATAGGATGAGGGAAGACCACAATAATCATACTTTGGCGATTATATGCTTAAGCAATATGATCACCTTATCGCGAGTAAGATACTTCTGGGTGACTTAAGCGATTAAAATATTTTCCATAGCCAACCAGACGAATCTATTCCAAAGTCAAAGATCCCTGATGCTAAGGTAAAATTCTGTATTGGTTGGGACCAGAAGGTTTATAGCTATTATGAGGAGTTAAAATCTAACCAGTCTATCACAGGGAACACGTTCCGAAGTAACTGATTTGTTGACCCTAAAACGTGCAAAATATGCGTACTGACATGATCGGTTATATGTTGCAAAACTATGTAGAAGACCAGACCTTGCCCTCCTTCTACTATTTTCGATCGATACAGAATGCTCTCTCTGGGGCACACTTCACTGCAAAACTGGGTATCCGAAACTGGCTTGTTTCTTTCTAGATACTGTAAGGTATTTACGAGTTGCCTTAAACAAATATCTGAAACATTACAACTTGTTAGGCAAATTCCTCCCCTCCAACCTACTCGTAAAAGTTACTTGTATTATTTTTATACTTAAGTATGTTGTAAGTATGTCTATGTGAGAGTAAAAGTATGTAAATATGTATTAAATACTTACATACATATGTATAACGACATGTGTAATGCTAAAACCAAATTAATGTTGAATTTAATTCAAATGGAATTTACAAACTTTTTTTGTCGTTTCTCTAAGGTATAACAGACATATGTACAAATGTATGTATGGACCTTAAATAAGGATATGTGGTATGGTTAGGTTGGTTAATTTTTTATTTCGAAAAATATACTATAGATTTTTATAGGTAAAGTAGGTAGTAAGTATTCCAACCATTAAAGTATATACATATGTATATCGTATATGTACATAAAACATTCAACACACATTTAACTGAAAGATACACTACTTGAAAAATTGACTACAGCAGATGCAAATATTAGAAAACATACACCTGTGTTTGTGTTAAATGGAGAAAAATCATAAAAAACTTAATGTGTAGTTGGTTTATGTGGAAAACTATAAGATATATCCCTACAGTTCAGGGTGGAAGTCCCATAATGTTTTCTAAGATTTTATTTTAGTCTTGGTCATAGGATGAATTATTTTCTTTAACATGCCTGTCCTACAGAAGTAAAAAACAGGAATATTTAAAGAAAATCCTATATAGATTACTTAGGGACTGATTACCTGTTAGATTACTAGAAGATCCTAAAGCGTCGATTATAAAGATTAAAAATATGTAAACTATACCAAAAATATATAGCATTTATTTAGCCAAGTATTTGAGATAAACTACTTTCTAAAAACGATGCAGTGCCTACTAGTGAAATTGTTAGGATGAAATGTTACATACATATGTTTAGTAAATATGTGTATTTATGCGTTTTTAATGGTATCATATGGATTTTCCCCATGTTTTTTACTTTATTTTTTTCTTATTCAATATTTTATGATTGTGGTATATTTTTCATATAATTAAGACATCTTGAGAGGTAGTAGTTGATTTATAATGGATTTAAGTAGAAGGTTATTTAATGGCAACACATGCTAAAACACAAGTTTTTTTGTGGCAATTAAATGAATATATTTTTTTCTGTTAAAGGTGTAAATTAAGCAATGCTACATATAATGTTGAGAATTTTTGGGAAAATATGTATGGTAAATTTTTTGGTATTTAAGATTTGTAATGTAGAGAAAGTAAAACATTTAGAAAGTTTTATTTTAAATTAAACCATGAAAGTTATTGATGACACTGGTCTACTAACTAACTAACTAACTAACTAACTAACTAACTAACTAACTAACTAACTAACTAACTAACTAACTAACTAACTAACTAACTAACTAACTAACTAACTAACTAACTAACTAACTAACTAACTAACTAACTAACTAACTAACTAACTAACTAACTAACTAACTAACTACTAACTAACTAACTAACTAACTACTAACTAACTAACTAACTAACTAACTAACTAACTAACTAACTAACTAACTAACTAACTAACTAACTAACTAACTAACTAACTACTAACTAACTAACTAACTAACTAACTAACTAACTAACTAACTAACTACTAACTAACTAACTAACTAACTAACTAACTAACTAACTAACTAACTAACTAACTAACTAACTAACTAACTAACTACTAACTAACTAACTAACTAACTAACTACTAACTAACTAACTAACTAACTAACTAACTAACTAACTACTAACTAACTAACTAACTAACTAACTACTAACTACTAACTAACTAACTACTACTAACTAACTAACTAACTAACTACTAACTAACTAACTAACTAACTAACTAACTAACTAACTAACTAACTAACTAACTAACTAACTAACTAACTAACTACTAACTAACTACTAACTAACTAACTACTAACTACTAACTAACTAACTAACTAACTAACTAACTAACTAACTAACTAACTAACTACTAACTAACTAACTAACTAACTAACTAACTAACTAACTAACTACTAACTAACTAACTAACTACTAACTAACTAACTAACTAACTAACTAACTAACTAACTAACTAACTAACTAACTAACTAACTAACTAACTAACTAACTAACTAACTAACTAACTAACTAACTAACTAACTAACTAACTACTAACTAACTAACTAACTAACTAACTAACTAACTAACTAACTAACTAACTAACTAACTAACTACTAACTAACTAACTACTAACTAACTAACTAACTAACTAACTAACTAACTAACTAACTAACTAACTAACTAACTAACTAACTAACTAACTAACTAACTAACTAACTAACTAACTAACTAACTAACTAACTAACTAACTAACTAACTAACTAACTAACTAACTAACTAACTACTACTAACTAACTAACTAACTAACTAACTAACTACTAACTAACTAACTAACTAACTACTAACTAACTAACTAACTACACTAACTAACTAACTAACTAACTAACTAACTACTACTAACTAACTAACTAACTAACTAACTAACTAACTAACTAACTAACTAACTAACTAAACTAACTAACTAACTACTAACTAACTAACTAACTAACTAACTAACTAACTAACTAACTAACTAACTAACTAACTAACTAACTAACTAACTAACTAACTAACTAACTACTACTAACTAACTAACTAACTAACTACTAACTAACTAACTAACTAACTAACTAACTAACTAACTAACTAACTAACTAACTAACTAACTAACTAACTAACTAACTAACTAACTAACTAACTAACTAACTAACTAACTACTAACTAACTAACTAACTAACTAACTAACTAACTAACTACTACTAACTAACTACTAACTAACTAACTAACTAACTAACTAACTAACTAACTAACTAACTAACTAACTAACTAACTAACTAACTAACTAACTAACTAACTAACTAACTAACTAACTAACTAACTAACTAACTTACTAACTAACTAACTAACTAACTAACTAACTAACTAACTAACTAACTAACTAAATAACTAACTAATTAACTAACTATTCGGGCCTATCCATTCCACACATGGTATAAAAAGTACGTCGAAAAAGTATATCAGTTTCCACGGCAAAGAATAGGGGCTGCGGTTTGTCACTCTTCAAAACTTAGTTCCAAAACATATATATTATACACAGAGGGATAAAGAAATATACACGCCTGGTACCAAATTGACACCAAACTGTTTATGATTTTTCAATACCAACCGTGGTAAAAGTATGACAACACTATGTAATTTGACAACATTACAACAATTCGTTGTCTAAATCTAAATTTTATACACATCCGTTGTCTAAATGTTAACAAACAATTCGTTGCTAATAGTGAGCTTACCACGTTTGTTAACATTTAGACAACGGATGTGTATAAAATTTAGATTTCGAATTGATGCAATGTTGACAACGTTGCGTTGTTAACATTACATAAATAGTGTTGTCGTACGTATGTATATACTTTGACAACGGATGTTATGGTTTAAGAAGGTTTGTGAATGGTTTTAAAAGGTTTTTGCACCAAAATGACCCGATAATAAGATTTTCGTTATTAGAACATCAATGGCTACCGCGTAGTGATATATGTGAACACTGGTGTCCCGAGGTTACTTTTTGAAATTTTCTCGAGTTAGAGCGTTCACAACTATAGTATCCTTCGAAAATATTTTTTATTTTTTTTTTTCTTTAAGAGAAACAGATTTGCCTTTAAAAAATTACTTTTCTTGAATTATGTAAATGAGAGATTTATTATAGGAACTAAACAACTTCCCCATTTTTGCAATTTTTTGAAAAACCACATTTTCTAATTGTCTACATTAATATTTAATTATATTCACTTTATTGTTGGGCATAAATAAATAAATAAGTAAGTTTAATAGTAAATGATTGTCCTATTCTTATTATTATGAAATAATTATATAATTAACTTACAATAGGTATCCGTTGTTAAACGATCAATGGTGTCCTGTTTCAATTTGGAGCTTTTCTTCCCCATATTTGCGGCACTAAACACTCTCACTCAACCACTTGCACGCGCAGACACACTCACTTTACTTTAAGTGGTGTCCTTTTTTTTTCTTCTTCTAACTGTCTGTTATTTTTATGGCAATGGTTGTTGTCCTGTTAGTAATTCTTATTACTTTTTGCTTTGGCTTATTTTATGTTTAAAAAAATACTCGTGGCCAGTTGCAGACTTAAGGGTCTTTTGTCCAATATTGTTGTTGTTGTTAGTAGTAGGAGTGTTATAGGTATTGGCGGTGTTGCTGATAATGATGGCAGGACATTTAAACTGATGAAGGGGCTGTTTTGACGTTTAGGCTGTCTTTTTGCGCCGCTCTGACTGATTGACTGATTGGTTTAGTTACTTTGTTTTTTTATTATTGCTGTTGTTGTTATTCCTTAATACAATTCAGTTGTAATTGTATTATTATATGTACTATATATTGATTTTTTTGTTTTTGTTTTGTAGCTTCTTTTATTTAATTTTCTTTGTTATAGCAGTAAGTAAATAGTTTGTTGTTTTCTTGTTTTATATTGAAATTTGTTTTTTATCTTTGTGTTGTCCAGTTTTTCCTTGCTTCTTATATGCTAAAAATTTTCATTGTTTTCTATGGTTTTCGTAGTTTTACCAACAATATTTAGGGACAAATAGAGGCCAAGATAGCGTCTGTTAACATTTGATGTCATAATTGATTACATTGATATTTAATTTGTTTATTGACAGCCTATAAAAAACAAGAGAAAAAAAACAACAAATGGAAAATTAATTTTATTTTAATTTCAATCAATTTTATTATAATTTATTATGCAAAAGTGGTTTTATTCGATGATATATAGAAATTTAATTTATTTAACAATTTTGTGTGGGCAGATTCCTGGTTAACCATTATTTGTATTTGTCCCTACTGATTGATTAATTGCGGTTATAATGGCGTGTAATTAATAGCTAGTGTATTTGTTATATTATTTGTTTCTGTCACATATTCACCACCTGTTTAAATGTAAATCGCTTATTTACTATAAGACTGGCATAACTAAAATTTCGATTTTTTTGGCACTGAGTACTATAAAATATGAAAAGTTCGTAAATCTTTCATATAGTTTTAACTATTTCCAGAATTCTCTATTATTTTGGGAATTAGAGTGATTTTTGTAAATTAAGTTTAAGTAAATTCAGTTAAGAAACATAATAATCTTTACAAATTATTATTACATTTTTCAATTCTTAGGATTTAGTTCAAAGTTACTTAAGAAAATTTAACATTGAAAGACATTTTTCTCAAAAAGCTGTTTTTACACTTATATCAGTCTTATATTAAATGAGCTATATATGAATTTATGATCGAATATTAACTTACACCTTTGTTTATTGTTAAATTTTTATTATTAAATATTCTGTTTTTTTTTTTTCTTATAAATAATAGAAAAACATTGTTGCTTTAAACTAAATTATTAAATGCTGTTGCAATTCCCATGACTGGATAAAATTTCAAAGTAGCTTGGGGCTAGAGTAATTTTATGAGTTGAAAGTCCTATTAATTGTTTCATCGAAGCAATTAAATTGTATATTTTTTTAATATTACCGTGTTTAATTATTTCAGAACGAAACAGGTGTTGTTAAGACACCCTTATAATAATTGCTGAGAATTTAATGTGTCTTCTTATGTGATATAATAAAAATCCATAAAAAAAATATATATTTTTTCAATATTCATAGAACATTCTATGAACATTGAACATATATTTCAACAAGAATGCCTAAGTGCTTAACGTGAACTCCTGTCTTGACGGCCTTATTTCACGGTGGTCTCTCACCCACTGGGTAGAATTGAGAACGGTCTATCACGTGCCCCGTGTTACTTCGATGAAGAACACTCAGATGGCCATTTTTGCCGGTCCATGTACAATCACTTTGCAACTCGAGCTTTCTACCGAGAACTTCCCTGAAGTAAAAGGTATACTAAATTAATACAAGGGAGTCTTTCCCAATCGTTCACAACCATACATACATCAGTTCCATTCTCAGACCAGAAAGAACGATCTACGGAATGACAGGCAACTACCGAGTATCAACCTGAAAATTCCCCAAGCTATACTGGCACCCTACTACACGAAAAGTAAGAGATACTCAACGGGCTCAGGAATCCAGCATAAGTTGCTCTGTCACATCACCCAGTGACATCAGTTGAGATGGCAACATCACCCATATATGGCATTAGGATACATAAGTCTTTAAACCAACATTCTCTCTCCCCGAAAATTGGGTTTAAACCACAGCCACTACGTGGATCAGGAAGGAACCTCAACCAGCCAGTACAAAGTCCAGTGGGCAACTGGCCACCCTTAGTACCAGGTTATCTGGTGCTCTGATTCTACCCCATATCAAATCATTCCATGGAAAGGCCGAGGATACATTTGATCATCAAAAGTTTATAGTATCGGCAGACTAGAAGTACTGGTAGCACCTCTATACCCGGGGATTGCAATACACCAAGATGGGATATATCATCAAGGAAACATGTCCGACAGGGGGAATATTTCAAGAAGTAAGGCTTGTGCCAAATTTTGTATACCATTCCTCATATATACCATTCCAGAAATCAACAAATAACTACATACGCAAATCAAAAATTCTAAGAACAAGTATATTATGAGAATTTATTATGATAAAGTGTTTCCATTAAAAGAGCTTTTAGCACTACCATAAAGTAAAATTATTCCGCTTTACTTAATCTTACTCCTTAATAATTATAAATTTTAATTACAATTAACTTATAATTCTTCGTATTTCTGAGAAATTATCTTAATCCTTTATAAACATTCGAAAAATTCTCTAATCTATACAATTAATTAAAATTTTGCCACAAAATTGTTTATTTAAAATACTCATTACAATAATCATACTATTAAATTAAATATAATCATTATATTTAGTACACAATCATTTCATTAATTAAACCAATTTGCTATAAAATAATATTAAATGAAAATATTTCAAATGAATACATTTTATAATGTCTAATATTAAAAACAAATAAATATTAATGTTTCCATTTAATTAAAATTATTTTACACATTACAAAGTTGTTTTAATTAGAAAATCAAAATTTATGTTAATGAAGTCTAGAAAACTTAATAACAAAATACTTAAATGAACAAAGCAATTAATAGCCAATTAAAGGTTAAAGGTAAAGGAATTTTCGTAGGAAATTTTAAACAATAGCATGTTCTCTTAGCTAATAATAAGATTTTCATTCTAAAAAAATTCAGATAATAGATCTAATATTTAGTAAAGCTTTTGTTCAAAAATCTGTTTAAGCTTTCCCCCTAAATATTTGTATTAATTTAACCAGGGCAGTAACAAGTTTCTAAAAAACTATTTACAATTACCTCTACAACCCCATTCACTTTTAAATACATTTTCTTAACACACTTAACATGACCTCATTTGCGAACAAAATGTTGTTGCATTAGCCTGTCGTCTACATTTCACTAGAAAAAAAAAACTCAGAAAAATACTGTTGCTGAGAACAAAAATTAAAAACAGGTTTGAAAAAAAATATCTCAATTAAAATTTATTTGCAAAATGAAAGGCAGGAAAATGTAAAACAATTTTCTTCTGTATTTATGATGAGTCAATCCTTACAATTTTCCAACTACGTCGCTACAACGTTGCAGCAGTTACTGCAGCATCTTTGTTTATGAAAGTGAATTGCTTATTGTTGACACTAGTTCTGCTGCTGCTGCTGTTGCATTGAGAAGTTTTCTGTATAAAAAGTAGTATATATGTAAGAATATAGTATATATACTATAATCCGGTTTGAATTATAGTATAACTATACTCTGGACTATAGAATTGGCTATAATATAAAATATCTCTACTATAGTCTGGACTATAGTTCTAGTATATTCTGGACTATAGTCTCTACTAAAGTCTGGACTATAGCCTCTACTATAGTCTGGACAATAGCCTCTACTATAGTCTGGACTACAGCCTCTGATATAGTCTGTACTATAGCCTGGAATATAGACTCTACTATAGTCTGGACTATAGACTCTACTATAGTCTGAACTATAAGCTCTACTATAGTCTGGACTATAACCTCTATTATAGTCTGGACTATAGCCTCTACTATAGTCTGGACTATAGCCTCTACTATAGTCTGGACTATAGCCTCTACTATAGTCTGGACTATAGCCTCTACTATAGTCTGGACTATAGCCTCTACTATAGTCTGGACTATAGCCTCTACTATAGTCTGGACTATAGCCTCTACTATAGTCTGGACTATAGCCTCTACTATAGTCTGGACTATAGCCTCTACTATAGTCCGGACTATAGCCTCTACTATAGTCTGGACTATAGCCTCTACTATAGTCTGGACTATAGCCTCTGCTATAGTCTGGACTATATTCTCTACTATAGCCTGGAACATAATCTCTACTATAATCTGGACTATAGTCTCTACTATAGTCTGTACTATAGTATGGATTATAGTCTCTACTATATTCAATACTATAGTCTCTACTATAGTCTCTACTATAGCCTGGACCATAGTCTCTACTATTGTCTGGACTATAGTCTCTACTATTGTCTGAACCATAGTCTCTACTATAGTCTGTACTATAGTCTGGACTATAGTCTCTACTATAGTCTGGACCATAGTATCTGCTATAATATCTAGTATAGTCTGGACTATAATATCTACTATAATAAACACTATAGTCTCTACTATAGTAAAAACTATGGACTATGGTCTAGACTATAGAAGATATGATTCTGAACAGAATAATAGACTACAGCTGCAGCTGTAGAATATACTATAGAAAGGTCTATTTAATAGACTATTGTCTGGACTATAGAATATATAGTAAAAGAAGTTAAAAGTTTGGACTGTAGAGAAACTATAGACAGACCCTAGTATAAATTTAAAATAGATTATAGTTTGGACTAATAGTCTAGGAACTTCCATACTGTATTAGTACATACGTGTCAAATACTATATCTGCTTGAATTCTTCACGCTCCTGTTTTTTCATTGCTTTCATTAATTCATTTGTATCTGATTTAGATGAGTGTGTATGTGTTTTCCTATGCGTGCCATAAAGAGTTACAAAACTGCATTTTCTAACTACACTTGTGCACGCAAACAAACAAAAAAATGCAAACATCCATACCCAGCTATTAATTTGTACATACAGATTCTCCTCATCACCCTTTAAACATACACAAAAAACAATTTTGTTTACATACGAACAAATTTCTAGGTCAAAAACATCTTTGTACGCAAATCTACTAAATAATACTCTTAGAATGAATGAAACGTACAAAAAACAATCACTATTTTACATTTTACAAGGACTTTCTTACACATACAAACATATATTAAAATACTGTCTCATGCACTCATACTCATCTACACAATTACAAAGATATTTTAATATTGTAACTCATTGATATGATGAGGATGCAGGAACAACAAAAAAAGTGAATAAAACAACAGCAGCAAGAACAACTACTGCAACAAATAAGAAAAATAGAAAATTTTATTATGATTATGTAGAAGCATGCATCTGCTGCACTTGTTTGCTTGCATTGGCATACGTTAGTTTTTCTATATGTATTTTATTTGTGGGTTTTTCTGCTCATCATCAAGTGTTTTACGGGCTGTCATGTAAAACACTTATGAAAATACATTTTTTGTTTTTCTACTCTTATAAGTATT